AAAAAAAGGAAAATAGTAATTGAAATTATATTAAATACCCAAAACAACATTGAAATTTTTTTATTAATTTCGAATCAGTTATATTGATGTTATCCACAATTAAAGTCGGATAGTCATATAAAAAAAAATATTTGCCATCAATTTATTAGATCATTATATCTCAGATGATGGATTATTAAAAAAATGGGCTGTTTGTCAAAAGGATTGTATTTTGTTCAATTTATTAGAATTTTTATTTACCCATGAAAAAATTCAAAGTTGTACCGGCCTTGCTAAAACCAAAGCTTGCTCTTTATTTTCAAAAATTGTTATCAAAGAATGGTTCAATGAAGAATCATCACAAAACATTGAAAAGTGGATTAACTCACTTTACAATGTTTTATTAGACCCAAAGAAGTCATCAATTAATAAAATAGAATGGGCTATAAAGATTTTTGGCCATTTCGATAGAATTAAAAATGAAATTGTTTTAATTCATTAAGTAGTAGAATTCAAATAGGTCTCGATAAAATTTTTAATGCTTCAATAGAGCTTCTTAAAAATTTTACAGTTTCAAGAAAAGAAAATACACAGAGTCCACATTTAAATGAAATAGTAGACACCATTTATTCATTATATGGCTTGGTTAGTGCTTCAAGTCGTTCAAATAATTTACAAATGGTATTAAGTCTCTTAAACAGAGTTAATACTCCAAAATCTTTTGAAGTCAAAAAGTTTTTGGTTAATTTAATTCCATCTTTTGAATTTAAAGATTTGGTTATGGTATTAGAATACTTCAATTCAAGCCATAAAATGCTAATTTCATGTGGTAACTCTAATAGTCCCATTGATTCCCAATCCATTCAATTATTCTTTTCTAATTTATTTGTAGTTGTCCAAAGAATTCAAAGTTGTGGTTATAAAAATGAAGAATTGGATATAATATCAAAACTAGTTCAAGATTCTATCAATTTCTCTGGAATTCTATGTTATATTATTACACTTGGTTTTTTTGCAAAGATGCTCTCTGATGTTACAAATTTTGATAACAAAAAAGATAGAACACTCAAACTCAATTCTATTAAATGGTGTTTATTCTTCCTCAAAAAATCAAACCCAAATTCAAAATTGGATATTATTATTTCCGAATTAGAAAAATTGATTAATAAATCCAATACATAGACCGTCAATCATAAAAGTAGAAATTGAAATTAGAACAAATCGCACTTGAAAATTCATATTTTATAAACTAAATATAATAATAATTTTAAAAAAAAAAAGGTTGAAATAAATAAATAAATTAAAGAAATAAAATTTTATTTGTTTTTAAGAAATTTAGATTAAAAAAAGGTCTAAAATTTTATTTATAAAATGATTTTATAACTTTGTGTTCGATTGAGTTTATTTTATGTTTTACATGTTTACTTTGTTGAAAGATAATTTCAGAAGAGGAGATTTAATTGCCTAAATTAATTTCAGATGAAGAAATTCTACTATAACTATTCTTTTGTAAGCTTCTATTTGTTCTAATTGGAATTCTTTTTTAATTGATCTACTTTTAAATTGTGTTTTCTTTTTTTTATATTTATAATATTGATTATTATTATTGATATACATTGTATAAAATTTGTATTAATTGGTTATGGTGTTGAATTGAATATAGAATGTGTTGATAGTGTAAGTGAAAGATATAGCATTATATAAACAACTTGTTGAAAGAGAAAGATTTAAATATAGAACATGTTGATTGAAAACTGAGAATAACGATAATTTTTAATCACTATTTTTCACTGGTAAAATAAATATAATTGCTAATAATATAATAGGTATGGAATGATTCGTGAAAACTGAGACACTCTAACTCTTCAAAGAGATCTAAAGTAGAACACCATACCATATCTACTATTTCTACGTCATGGATTTTAATATTTGTCTTGTTATCATGGAGGGAAATTGCGAAATCTCTAAATACTGAAACTGCACCTTCTACTTGATAATGTCTATACAGTTTACAATTGGTAATGATTTTGTATAGCTTTTCAATACATGATCCAACCATATCTATAAATAAATTTATTTTAGTGAACTGGTATGGAAAGAATAAAAAAATTTAAGTTGTATAGGATGCAAAAGACTACTAGGTAAGCTTTAATTTTAATTGAATAGGAAATATAAATAATTAATAAAAATTTTAACTTGTATTGAATGCAAAAGACTACTTCTGAAAGATAAAATATAATGAATAAAATAATACAAATAAAAAAATTATTTATAAAAAAAAAAAAAAAAAAAATTTTATTATAAATTTAAATTGATTGGTGTTTATTATTAAATGGTATAAATTGTGTCATTTATTATTAAATATAAAACAATAGTATGAGTGAAATACATTATTATATGTAGAACAAAATGGGTGAAAATTTTAAAAAAAGAAAATTTTTATTTATTTTTAAATTTTATTATTAATTTAAAAAATAGCTATTTTTTAATATTTTAAAATTAATATTAATTTTAAAAATTAATATTAATCTTATATAAATTGTTATATCACTTTTAAAATAATGGGTATAATGAAAACTAATTATATGATATTATTTTAATTAAAAAAATTTTAAATTATTTTATATATTTTTGTTAATTATTTTTTGAAAAGAAGATAGATAAAAGTAATATAAAAAAAGTAATATATGTAAGATATTATTATAAAAATACATATTTGTATAGAATATAGAACAATATTTAAAAAATAAGTAGGACATTATATCCATTAAAAATACAAATAAAAAATTATTAAATAAAGGGAAAGTTGAATAATGGAGTAGCTTTAAAATAAATCTAACTAAATACAGAAAAAAGAAACAATAAATAATATAATAAACAAAGAAAATTATATTAATTATTTATAATTTAATAACTATATCTCTATTATAAATAATTTTATATATAACTAATTTATTTAATTAGAATTAAACTAAATAAATATTAAAACTTGTATTAAAAAAATTAATTTATCTTTTTTTTTTTCAAATGATTTTTTTACAATGTAATAGCTTACCGGCTCACGAATAATCTCATTGAATACTTCAGAAGATATCAAAGATAATAGTACGAATACCACAGCTCAAAATATTAAAAGATCGATTCAAAGAGATAGAATATGAATTTGAAAGTAATAGAATTGCAAAAAAAGAATTAAGCTAAATTAAGAAATCAAAAAATTACCATGGCTTTCAGCCTAATATTAAGCTGAACAACTAAGAAAGTTAGAGTAGAATAGGTAAATCTCTGAACAAAAGGTTCATTTAGGAAATAGTTAGAATGAAAATACTCAATTAAAATTGAAAATTGAAAATACTGAAAAGGAAACAAGACAAATAATGGAAGAAAAGTTAAATATTTTTAGAGAACAAACAAATCTTAATTAGAATTAATTTAAGACAAATATCAAGATCGTAATGCTACCATTAATATTTATTATTTATTATTTATTATCTAAAGAGTTTTGGATACATTTATAAATTAAATAATTTAAAAAAAATAAAATAAATCCTCCAAAAATAAAAAAAAAATTTTGCATAGACTGATTAATTTATAAAATTTAAATAAAAAAAGGAAATAAAATAAAAGGAAAATAAAAGTTTGAATTTATTCATTTATTTGAATAGCTATTAAACTATCCCATATTTGATCTTGATTGAAATAAAGATGTTTTAATATCCTTTTTTTGGTTTCTTATTTCTTTTTTTTTCGATTTAACTTTATCTTCACTTTCATCTTCACTTTCATCTTCACCTATATCCTGACCTTCATCTTGACTTTCACCTTCACTTTCTTTTTCACTTTCATCTTTACCATTATCTTCACTTTCATCTTCACTTTCATCTTGACTTTCATCTTGACTTTCACCTTCACTTTCATTTTTGTTTTTGATTACTCTTCTCTTTTTAACCTTTTTTTTATTTCTGGTTTTATTTATTCTTTTTAGTTTATGGATGCCTTGACTTTTATTATTATTATCGCCTTCATCACTACTGTTTTCGCTCATATCACTATTGTCACTATTATCATTATTATCACTATTATCACTATTATAACTACTATTATCACTATTATCACTGATATCACTATTATTATTGTTTCTATTTTTACTATTATTACTAATATTAATAATATTACTATTGTTTTTATTATTTATTAATTTATTATTTAATTTATTTTCGACTAAAAAGTTAACAATTTTTTTTTTTAATGATTCTGTGAAAATTTTTTTTTGTTTTTTAATATTTCTATCCTTGAGATATTCATTAAATTCGCTAAAAACTGCAATGAATTGATTTACATCTTGAATGTCTAAAAGTTTTGGGTATTTATCTTGATATAAAATTAAATCCTCTATATAGTATTTGGTGATATTTAAAACTCTGACTAAAAAATTCTGATCTTTGATATCATAACGCTCATCAAGTTTAGACAGTTTTAATAGTTGAAGAGTTTTTTTAATTGGTGCTTTGTCTTTTGGTTCCAAAATTGGTAATAGCTTTGGTAACGCCATCCAAAACTCGCATGGATTTGAAAATATTCTTAATTTAAATTGATCCTTGATATAGTCTATATGGTTTGGTGTGTGATTAATGGCTAGTTGTTTTATAGGAAGTGGAAGATTCAAATACCCTAGATCTACTTGTTTTGTACCATTACTGATTTCTTTTATTAACGATTTCGATGAGCTATATGGATAGGATACACCCAATCTAAAAATCAAATGCGCCAACTCTTTAGTATCGGTGATCTTTGACTTTATAACGCAGTCTCTTATGTACAGTTTGATTAGCATTTTGACCTTTTCAAATTCGCTTAAACAGTTTCCATCGATGATATCCTTGAATTTACATTTGGACATAAATATTAAAACATTTTGTGAAGAGTATATTCTCTGACCCCTGTTTTTGTCGAATTGAGTTTCTTCTTTTTGGCTGCTACTACCGTAGTATTGATCTTGGGTATTTGAATTGTCATCTACATTAACTTCGTAATACCTTTCCAAGATCTCTCCAACATTTTCTTCTTTATCAAAATAACTCTTTTCTAACCTCATTTTATTTAATTCATATTTTGGGAATGCAGTAAACGATGTCTCTAAAATTCTTAAATGAAACCATTTTTTAATACTGGTAGCTATTTCTTTTTGGGGTTTTTTAGATAACTTTACTTTTTGATTTATTGTTAGTGGTTCGCACACATTATTTATATACAAATACTTGGATCCATACTTTCTTTTTTTTTCGCTACTATTAAAACCTAAGGATAATAAAATATTGTTAGATTATTATTTTTATACATGTATTATTTATATATATATTATTATTATCATATATTTACCTATAATATCTTTTGCCAAGTGAATATTTCCAAAAAATACATATAGTCCTAAATCATCTATTACTTTTAAAATTTTGAATGGTATGTCATCTTTAATCCTCTTGTAATTACCAAGGTTATTTTTCAATTTAGGTTCGATAAATGCTAAAATATTTTCGTTCATAAACTTGAATGATGATAAATCATCCTCGTTATCACCAACTTCATCTTCATCACCACTAATATATACACTATTTATATCATTATCTTTGCTCTGTTGAACTAGATGTTTAAATCTTAATTTTAAATCTTTATAGTCTTTATCTGTAATTTCTTGATTATCTCTAACAAGATGATTGAGTACAAGTTGGATTTTTTCTTTAATTTTATTTGATGGTTTCCTATTTAAATAGATTAATATTAATATAGTTTTTAATTTAAAAAATAAAATATATAAATATATAAATTACATTTTCTTTTAAATCATTCTTCTTTCAAAAAATATACACAAAAAATAAATAAATTATTTGGGAAAAATAAAAAAAATTATTTAAATTTAAAAAAAATAAAAAAAAATGTAAAAAAAAAGGCGCCTTTACAATTTTGTAATTGTTATTTTTGTTGGGGTGGAGAAAATTGGTTCTTCTTCATAATTTTCATTTATTAAAACTCTATTTTATTCAATTGGTTGCTCTAAATCATAATTTTTGAAATTCCTGGTAACATTATTGGTTTTCTATTCTAAAAAATTAAAAAACAATAAAGTTGGTTCTACTGCTTATGTATTTATTGTCTCTAAATCTTTAATTGCTTTTTTTGCAGTTTTTATTCTTCGTTGAAGAAATTTCTAAAATGGCATTCTCTTATTGGAGTAACAAATCTCTTTATAATTTAATTAAATCTTTATTTCATTTGATTATTGGTTATTGGTCAATTCCAGGTCTATATATAGATATTCCTTCCTGAATAACAATAGGTGATACTGGAAATGGTGTTGGGGAAGTGTTGTTTTATACTAATTTATATGTTAACTTTGGTATCACTATTTGGTAATGAACTGGGTGGAAAAAAGTGTTTAGATTTAGTTCCGATTGTGAGTGTTGTAAGACTATTTGGTAATGTGCCGGGTGGAAGTACTTGGTTAAGACGATAACTAAATGTGAGTGTTGTGAGACTATTTGGTAATGAGCCGGGTGGAAGTACTTGGTTAAAATAATTACCGAATGTGAGTGTTGTGAGACTATTTGGTAATGAGCCGGGTAAAACTACTTGGTTAAAATCACGACCGAATGTGAGTGTTGTGAGACTATTTGGTATGGAAAATGTTAATCATGACTGATTATTTTATTTAATAGTTAATTAGTTAACATGTTACAAAAAAGTGTAACATAATATAAAATTTAGGGTATATAAAAGATATATGTATTAAACAGGGAATAATAAGCAGAGGGTAAAATCTTTAAGCGATTTTAGGGAAATTTAATAATTAATTGGGAGACTTGAATTTTTTGTGCCAACTTTCAAGCGCAAGTACAGTACCTATAATTGCGAGTCTAGGTATTTTTACTTTTAGGAATTTCTTTTCGGCTACTGGTAACGGAAGTGTATTAATGCAGTCTTTAAACTTCATTATTTGAATGGATGTTGCATCTCTTGTATTTGGATTTAATGTATAAGATACTTCTTCTGTTATGATCCTGCCAAATGCACCAACAACTATGGGAACAAGTTCGACATGGTATGACTATTTGGTAATGTGCCAGGTGGAAGTACTTGGTTAAAACTATGACCGAATGTGAGTGTTGTGAGACTATTTGGTAATGTTCTGGGTAGAACTACTTGGTTAAAAAAATAATCGAATCTGAGTGTTGTGAGACTATTTGGTAATGTGCCGGGTTTAATTACTTTGTTAAACTCATAACCAAATGTGAGTGTTGTGAGATTATTTGGTAATGCGCAGGGTGGAAGTACTTGGTTAAAATAATTACCGAATGTGAGTGTTGTGAGACTATTTGGTAATGCGCCGGGTAGAACTTCTTGGTTAAATTTATCACCGAATGTGAGTGTTGTGAGACTATTTGGTAATGTGCCAGGTGTAACTTCTTGGTCAAAACAATAACCGAATGTGAGTGTTGTTAGACTATTTGGTAATGTTCCGGGTGGAAGTACTTTGTTAAAATAATTACCGAATGTGAGTGTCGTGAGACTATTTGGTAATGTGCCGTGTGGAATAATTCGGTTAAAATCATTACTGAATGTGAGTGTAGTAATTGTATTTGGTAAAGTTTGAGTTAACCTTTCAGGAAAACTGTAAAAATATAAATGTGTCAAAAATAGTGGAAATTCATTTGTATCTGGTAGTGGATCACGACACCACTTAAGTTTTGTTATATATGATTTATCTGTAAAATGGTCATAAAGTGATATATCAAGTACAACACTATGTTTAATAAACTTTAAAATATGTTTATAAATTTCAACTCTTATTACTTTATTTTTCAAAACTTTATATAATAATCTATAATAAATAGTTAAAAAGAGAAAACACCAATTAACATGCTTTTAATTAATCTATTATTTATATTTATTGTATTGGTCTTACCTATCACTAATATTACAACTGTTTTTTAACTCTTCATTTACTTGAAAGTTAATAAGAGATGATAGCAGATCATCCATTGTGAATATAAAAAAAATATCTGTTTAATTGTATACCAAACAAATATGATAGAAATTCAAAACTAAAATTTGATTTTAGTTTTATCAGTGTTAGAGCCAAGCATAAATGATTTCTAATTCCTTTTTTATTTCCTCGTAGCTCACTGATAAAATTACCTTTAGAATCCATAGATAAATATAAATTTTGGAGTTTTTCCCACAAAGAATGTAAATCCTCATTACTTAAACCAATAATTTTTTTATGCAAGCCTTCGTTATAATCGCAATAGTTTTCAATAAAATGAACCATGAAAAATAAAAATTGATTTAAATATAAACATATTAGATAAATTAATTTTATTTTATTTATTATATATTATTTGTCAATTACCTATTGGTGCAGAAGTGCCAACATTATTTGTTCCTCTCATTCTAATAGTAGAACCACCTCTTCCTCTGCCTCTAGTAACACCACCACCTCTAGCAACACCATTTCTACCTCTCCAGCTGTACCATTATCTTCATGTTGGTGTGTACCATCTTCATTCTCATCTGCACCATTACCTTCATGTTCAGATGTACCATCACCTTCGTTAGGATTATTCTCTTCACCTTCACCATTTTCATTATTCCTTTGAGAATTTTTGTGATCATTTCTCCATCAAAGCATTATATGGTCATTTTAAAAAAATCTTTTTTTGTTTTTATGGCAAATTATTTTTTTCTTTTTCTCACATTTATTTTTTTTTTAATATTTTTTAATCATGTTGTAATGAAAATTAAATAAATAAAATAAAAAAGTTAAATATTGGATTGGTAAACTCTAATTTATAACATTATTCTATGTAAAAAAAAAAACCAAAAAGTTTTTTTTTTTTTTCATTTATTTTTTTCTACTATTTTTTTTTTTAAATGATTGTTCAAGTTGATTTTGTTTATTTTGTGTTGGTTAAATAGCTGGCTGGCCATATTTCGTGATTTTTCTTTCTGCCAAAATACTTTTGAATTAATTCCAATGTCTTTTCGTATTTGTTTCTTTTGAGTAATTGAGGTTTATAAGCTAAGGCTCTAACACCAATCATATCCAACATTGCTTGGTATTTATCAGCCATACCGATATGAATGGACCACATTTTGCAAACTAATGGAGATCCAGAGAGTTTTAAATCACCTTCATCACCTTCGATGGCCTTAAGTACAATAAACTTTATATACTCTGGAATTATTTTGAAACTAATTGGATTATTTAATTTTTCGGCGACTGATAAAAAGTCATATTCAATTGTTAGCTTTTCATGGAGTTCGGAGGCATAGTCTTCTTTTTCTTCTTTGCTCAATTTACTTGGTAGATATTTAATATTTTTCTCTGGTTTTAGTTCTGTTGAATTTGATGTAGTAGTAGTTGTTGTTGTAGAAGTTGTGGGTGGACTAACTCTATTATAATCCTTGCTACTATTATTTATTTTATTATTATTTACACTGGTGTTATTATTTACATTCATAATATTATTCATATTAATATTATTATTACTATAATTATTATTAGTAGTACTATTAAAATAAGCTAAAGCCCTTTCGAAATTATATGGATTTTGAATGTTCATATTTGAATAGGATTTAATAAAATATTCTAATGCTACTTTATGGTCTGAGTTTTGTTTATTTGGTAATCCTGGAGGATATATATTTTTTGTTTCTCCACCAGATTCTTTTACATATGCCTCTTCTTTCTTTTTGGCCTCTAAATATATGGTTGAAAGAAAATCTAATTTTGCTTTAACTGGTTCTAGATCTTTTTTTATTTCTAAAAAAAGAGCATTATAAAAATTATCAAAATTTTTTAAATCGTGTTCTACTTGATTTTGTTTCATTAAAAATAATAAATAATCATCATTATTATTTATATTATTAATATTACTTTTATTATTTCTATTATTGTTATTATTACTATTATTGTTATTGTTGATATTATTGCTATTATTGCTAATATTGTTATTATTATTATTTAA